ACATACGTCTGCAATAGAAATGTATATTTCTGAGCATAATTTTCATTGAATGCTCAGCTCTGTTCACGCTCCACTGTTAAGATTTCTCCTTCCTTGCTAGCTGTGGTGAAACGCACTCATCGCATTTTGTTAGCTTTTGACAGTTTACACGCCTGTCCGTTGTTGGACCTTCTCTATAAATATACGTTCTCTGCAGATGGTGCTACGTACTGTATGGTCAACCCACGTGTGTCAATACTCTTATTATTTATTGTCAAATGTTTTGTTTTTATCAGGAGCTCTTAAAGTAATTCGAATTAAATATTTGTGGTATTTCTAATAAGTTATGGAGTTAAGTAATTCAATTCAAAATGAGAACAGTTCCGCCGATAAAGAAGAAACAAATAGAAAGCGCCGAAATCCATTTAATACGCAACTACGTAAAGATGATAAGGAACGCCGACAGAAGAAGAAAGCTCGAATAATTGCGAGAAATATAAGTTATAAAGTAAAAGAAGATGCCTTACTTAAACATTTTAGTCAGTGGGGTAATGTGGAGGAACTTAATCTTCTGAAGCGTTCTGATGGAAAATTAGTAGGTTGTGCATTTGTACAGTACAGTGGAGTAAACCAAGCTTCTAAAGCTATCTTAAAAGGAAATAATATGAAATTCCTCGGACGCCCACTGTATATCGATTGGGCATTGGGTAAAGATGAATATACAAATAAAAAGAATGGTCAAAATTCAGGAGAACCAGATGAAAAGAAACCTAAAATAGAACTAAAGGAAGAAAACGAAAAAGAGTCACGAGACTCTTCTAGTGATGAGGTATTTTTATGTGAAATTAGAATTTTGTTTATAAATCGAGTTGGATGCTGTTTTATTACATGTATACTTAAATTAAGTCCAAAAATGCTGAAGATGATGAGCTGGTTGATGATGTACAAAAAAGTGACGAGGATGATGATCACAGGACAGCATACGATAATTCGGATTCAGATGATAAGTCCAAATCAAAATTAAAAATTAAACAGGTGGGCAAAGAAAAACACAAATCGAATGATGTGCAAAATGGTTGTACGATATTTATAAAAAATGTCAACTTCGATGCAGTGGATACTGATGTACGTAAATTATTTCGCAAATTTGGTCCCCTTTATTATGCAATTATTAATCGCGAACCGATATCGGGTCACTCAAAGGGTACAGCCTTTGTAAAGTTTAAGAATAAAGAATCCGCTGATCTTTGTTTACAATCCGGTGGTGAACTTTATTTGATGGACCAACTTCTTGAAATATATCCAGCGTTAAGCAAAAATGAAATTCAAAACCAAGAAAAGCTCAAATCAAATAAAGAAGTTGCAAAGGACTCACGTAACTTATATTTAGCCAGAGAAGGACTTATTATGGCTAATAGCAAGTCCGCTGTAGGGGTATCTGCATCCGACATGATTAAGCGACACAAACTCGAGCAAATAAAAACTCAAGTGTTAAAAAATCTTAACCGGTAAGCATAAACATTTCTAAAAGCATATTTAAATATTCATTAAATTTTTTTGACAGGTTTGTTTCAAGAAATCGGCTTTCTATTCATAATTTGCCTCTTAATTTTGATAACGAAAAGCTGAAGAAAATGGCTATAACTTATACGGGATACAGACCGCATGAATGCAGAGTGATGCGAGAAAATAAAATTACACCTGAACATCCCAAAGGGAAATCAAAAGGCTTTGGATTTATGTCATTCAGCACTCATCAAGAAGCATTAGCAGCCTTAAGAAAGCTGAACAACAATCCATCAATATTTGGAACTCAACATGTGAGTATTACTTGTTCATTTTGTTGTATAAAATAAATTTAATCGTAAAATTTTGTTTACATATTTTTTTTTTTTTTTTGTAGCGCCCGATTGTAGCTTTCAGTATTGAAGATAGAACAGTAGAAAAAATAAAGGAGAAACGTAAAGAAAAGTCCAAACTAAACAATCCAACTTTCAAAGAAAAATTAGAAAAACGAAAAGAAATGCGAAACCTGAAAGGACAAAGAAAATTAAATCAAAATAAAAAAATACCTCAAAGTGACGATAAGGCGAAACTAAAAAAGCATATAAAAAAACTAGAAGAATCGCGTACTGCAAATCAAACTAGTGTGAAAGATAATGAAATAGATGTGTTTGACGATTTCGTTGGTACAGCAGCAAAACCTGGCTCTAACATCCGTTTGCGATCAAATAAAAAAATTGCTGAACAGGCACAGGATCATCGAAAAAATGTAAAAGCAAATAAACGTAAAGAGAAAGCCAAAAAAATTCGCCAAATTCATTTGGCTGAGCGAAACGAGGTTGAGAGGCCAAAACAAGGGAAAAAAGAAGAACACGACGATTTAGAACATCTGGTGAAAAAATATAAACGCATGATAGACAGTCAAGCTAACGTGGGAAGTAGCAGAGAATATGGAGAGAAAACCGATCAAGTCGCACCAAAAAGGACAAAATGGTATTTAGAATAGTATGTGGGCGTTTAGTGGTTTAATATGTATACATATATACATAAATAGATCCTTTGTTAAATAAAATTAAATTTGAAATAAGACTGTTGTTTTTCGACCTTGAAACTAAACTGGCACAACTATTAAAGTGACGTCTCTTAAGATAGGTATGCACGACAGGTAAGTACATCTACCTGCTTTTTTTTAGATAAAAGCTATAGTTCTTAGAGATTTAGAGCCATTTTCACAAGCACATTATAGACCGACAATCTTGACTCAACATTTGATATTGCAAAAATGGCACCGAGAGTATATTTTGAATTTGTTGTTCTCCGTATGACATATGAATCTCATCTGTAAGTATCATTTTATGACACAAAAACAATTTAACTAAAATTAATTCAATTCACCACAGCCACCCGAATCAACCACGTATTAGTTTCACACATAAGAAGAATTCACCTAGTGCATCGCTAATAGAAGCACGAGATTGGGTATATACAGTAACAAAGTACAAATTCTCAATAAACTAATAATCATTTATTTATAGTTTGATCTAGTAATGGCCCGGGAAAGGTCGAAATTACCACAAGGTTCAAAACTTCGATATACAGAGTGGCGAATTCTTTCAGGTGATGCTAAATTGTTTTACGTTGAAGGATTCCGCTACGATAAAATACTTGTGTTTATGGGAGAAGAGTCAAACTATTGGATGTTCTATGAAAATGTACAACGTCCTCGAAGAATTGAGGGCAGTGGCCGACTACCATTGACATATTGTGCATGCTGTTTAAAAAGCCAATATATAACCGTTTTGGACACAATAAAGAATTGTTTATCTAGAAAGCGATAAAATAAAATTATACCGGTTACATAGTAGTAAAAGGAACTGTGCTACTTAATTAATTATTGAATCATATATTTTTCCATATATGAGAATTCACTATCTACACACCACATTTTTACTAAAGACTGACGCAGTGATATATAACAGTGATTGTAGATTATTCCAGCCAATGGAAACGGGATCCATATTTGGCTGGAGGCTTTGGGTAATCATCTGGCAGACCAGGTGTAGCGTCAGGATATTCCTTCTTTATAGCTTTAGGAGGAGCTTCACGTTCAGTGGGGTGAATCTATAAGTAAAACAATGGAGTTACTAATTTTAACTATATATAAATAAACGTTTCACCTTTGCTCGAGTAAAGTAGCCATATTCAGGACGATCAATACCCAAATTATCGGATACGCATTTATCAAAAGCACCTTGTGTTTTTCGGCAACTGTAACAAAATATAACGAAAACGTAAAATATAAAAGCGATTACAGTAAACAGTAATAAATTATAATCATCACTCACTGTCCAAAAGCCATATTGCCGCTGCTTTTGTCTAGACAAGTTGCATATTGAAGGAACTCTTCATGGCAAGTTTTTTTTACTTTCCGGAAAAAGTCCAAAGCGCAGCTAGTTACTGCTTTGCCTTCATTAATGCATGCCCGGGGGTCATCTAACTCATGTCGACATAGCATAAATTCCTGTAATAAAATTTGTTTATCATTTATCAGCTGGATACAAAACAAATGTTCCGACACAAACACGTTGAGGTTAGAGCTCTTGGTAAAAATTATATAACTAAATGTTAGTGAACTAAAATTCCAAAATAATTATTTTAAACAACAATAAGAAAAATATTATTATTATTTTTTAATTAATTACTTCGCCACTTACATTATTCTGATTTTCACAATGTTTCCCCAAATGAAATGCACCAGCTCGAAGGGCCGAAGTGGACAAATTCAACTCTTGCACTGTTAACTCTTCATCAGTGGGCAACGTGATATCATTAGTAATTACCATATTGCCTCTAGATTGTTATTATATCTTTGCTGAGCCAAATGCCACTACAGAACCAAAAGCGGCAAATATTTATTATTTTGCTATATCGATAATTCAGAAGTTTCCAAAACAATTTCCCAAGAGTCGGAGATATGTGCATATGTTATTTTTCGATAACGTATTGATGTTGTGGCTCATAAGTTGGTTACACTATACGATTATTATTTATAGCTGGTTAGATAGATAGATAATAAATGAGGTTTGCACCGAGATCTAAGCTTTATTGTTTCCTCTCCTGAGTTATAACGAATCATATTGCCTAGTCATTGATGAATTCCAATATACTGTTAGGTGCTATTGAGACAATGAGACCCTATTTGGAAATATGGAGTAAATTTTTGGAATTGCATCCTCCGATTTCGGGGTTAAAATGGGTATGTACGGATGGAGGAGGTCCTCCAGATCAAGAAAATATATATATGTATATAGTTGCCGCTGACTTATGGTTTTTGAGATATTTGCATTTAAAGTTTAAAAATTCAACTATTTAAAACCTTTGTTTCTCCGAATTATAATGAATTTTACACTTTTATTTTTAACTTTAATTTTCACTACCATTTCACTTATTCGTTTCTAACCATTTATTTTATATTAAATAGTATAAAAATAACTTTTATTGGCACAATTCCGATTTCTTTGGCGCCGCGATATGAAGGTACCGTTGGAAAGAGAAGTTCTCTTGATTAAAAAATATATAGGGTTATAGGAATAGCAAACGCTTAGTTTAGGAGATATCCGACCTTAAAGTTCAAAAATTCCCAAAATTCGAACATTTCGAGAAGCTGTTTAACCACATCAAACACACTTTATTCACAATTTTCTCTTCAAATTAATTAAATGAAACTACAAACTTTTAAATAAATCCACATTTTACACTCTTAGCAGGTTTTTTGCCTAATACTATGTTCGGGCCGTGGGAAAAACTGGTTTTCGCACGAAAAGTTGTGTTTTCGTCCATGTAAAATCTGTTAAACGAAAACACAGTTTTCGCTGAAAACAACTTGAAAACTTGCATTCCACTCATTATAACCGGTGCCTGCTCTAGTTTAATCGATGTTTTTGGAAGACATGTTTTGCCGGCCCTAAATTGTCATTTGATATTTTTTTACATTCCACATATAAATACAGCTGCCGCTTGGTATTCTTATATTATGGGGATTCTCTTGCTCTTGTAAAACCTTGCACCGTGCAGAAATTACAGAATTTTCCCTTTGGTGCAACGGCACAACAACAAACACACACAGAAAATTAATTGCATTGGTTGTAAAATATGTCAGATCAAAACCCATGTTTATTTTCTTGCCGTCATATTATATATAACTAGATTCTACAATGGTTGCTCCAGAGATAATGAGATGTTTAACTCCTCTCTCACTGGAAGTGAGAGAACAATTGCTAAACTTCAAAACCACCTAAACTTTGACAGTTGATCGAGTTCAGGAGGCTTTGACGTTTAACAATTGGAAACGAGCGATGGCCAGATTGAAATCTTAGCGAAAAAATACGTAAGCGGAGGGATTTGTTGCATCGTTCAATACCACTTGTAAAAAATGTAAAACAATGAAAATTAAATAAATTTGTGAAATTTAAAGGTATTTGATGAAAGGTTTTGTAATTTGAAGCATCATAGATTATTTTCAATGGAAAATGATTAAAAACATKTAATGATTGAGAGCTAACAACCTTAAATCCTTTTATTGGGTATTGAAAGGTCAAAAGTCGGTTGTTCTAATATACTTTAAAAAAATTTAAATAGTTTCTCCATATAATAAATAACCACTATATAATAATTTTTATTCGTACTAAATGTTGGTTGTTTTATTTAAAATGCCCAAAAAATAGCCTTTTTTCTGATCTGGCCATAATGGAAAATGTCATAAAAAACGCTAATTTTGAGGCGCTCTCACACTGGAATAAGTTTAACATCCCTTTATTCCTGGTTGTCAGTGAAAACTCATCGAAAACACACATTGTCGGTCGGAACGACTTAGATTCCACAACATACAAATGTGTTTTCAAAATGTTTTCAATGTCGGTCCGAACATAGTATACGAAATCTTAATTTTAAAAATTACATTTTACACTCATAGTGAACACCATTTGTGTACTCAAAATTTCGACGAAATGGAGCGCCATGTGATAATAAGGAAATTCGCTGAAATTCCTTTTTTCCCAAAAATTCCTCTATCCATGCATATGATTATGTTCTTTATTTAATGTAATAAACAAATAAGTAATATTATTTAATAGTATTATATATATTGTCCCCTAATATACAAAACAACACTTATTATCAAAAATAAATGGAAATCGCTAACAGATATAATAAGCAAAATTGAACCAATTTATAACGAAAACTCTATATATTTAATTAATTTTTTTACGCAGAGTACAATGCGAAAGTACTTCAGTAACCCCGGGTATTCGCTCGACCAGGGTTATTTTTTTAGAGCGCGGCCGAAAGCCGTCAACGCAGAAAGGATTACTACACAAAAGTACTTCAGTCATTATGATATTATATAAATTTTATAATATTATCATAGGGTTTTAGTTATTTGTGTGTCTTAAATATAAATCACATATTATACATATACATATGCAGATGGAAAAAGTGTTCACAACTCAATTATAACTTGAAAAATGTTGGAAAGTATTTTTTATTGTAATTAATGTAGAAAAAAGGATCACGCAAAAAAGCAAACAAAGAAAAATCGTTAAGAATTATACATGTTTGGTGTTTAAGATGTGGCTCTCATTTTCCTCATAATTGTAAACAATCTAACTTTTGCAACGACGAGTGTGCTAAGTGATTTTTAAATTAATAAATTTAGGTAAAATATTACAAAATAAAATTAAAATTTGAACTTATTTCAATGTTTAGAGTTTATATTTAAAAACACAAAAGGGCTGCATTCTAACTAATAATCTGTATTACCTTACGTACGTATTCTACAGAAGAACCAAAAGAAATTAAGAAAACAAATAGTACGCATATGACAGGAATAAATAATACATAGTTTTTCGCATAGAATTCCTTTCTGCATTGGCGCACTTCGGCTGCGCTTAAAAGAAATAACATTGGGCTGACCAACACCTGGACGTGCTTAGCTCTTTCGCGTTGAACTTCCTTTTTTTCGTATTGTAAGTAGAGATTGCTTTAAGTGACTATCGCTGAGTAAGGCGATACTTTCGGTGCGATAGTTGCGTTGGAGGTTTATCTCTACATACCTATAGAAAAAACTTCCGCTTGGAAGATGCATTGAAAACTTTCCATAGATATGGAGAGTTTGCTAAGTGTCCTGTGACTCTTGCAATAATTCCCTCCGGCGTTTTCGAGTAGTCGGTTTACTACTTGATTGTGCTATCCCTTAGCTGTGGGTCAAGCGTGGAACCATTACATTCAGTGAAGTTTACCATCTTGGTAATGTTCTCCCTTGGGAAAAAAGCCTGTGGTATTTCATCACACGATGACCTTCATTTGCTGAAACGAGATTACCTCCTTCTGTCAAACCCGGACATTTGAAACATTGTATGTTTGGCTGCTTGAATGATAAGTAAATAAGGCAGAGTGAGTTCCAGTAGCTTTGACTACTGACAGGTCCACATGCTGTTTCCACGCAGATTGGAATTCAGAGCGAAGTCCAGATAGATACCTACGCAGCGCTTGCTCTTGAGTGTCGAGTTGTGCCAACTAACGACGTGGCCTCACATAAGTAGTTCTTAATCATATAGTCGCACAACATTTTACGTCCAGGTATGATAGAACTAACCACATATATAAGTTGCTTGCGTTTAGTCGGGCGAAAGAACTGTACCTCCTTCTCGGCTTTTTGCATTAGCCCCACAATAATTCCGCGGAGACAATTTCTTTTCAGCTTCATCGTCGTCCTCCAGCCCAAGGAAGAGAGAATAGTCGCCCAATTGTGTCAGAAGTCGTACCATAGTCGTACCGTATTGAGCGCTCCACCACCAGGCCACTCCACACATTTTATTCTATAGGAAGGAAGACTATTAAAAAATAACGTCTAGACAGTACACAGTAACTTCTTCTTTTTTAATTCTTTCAGTATTCCTCCAGCATTAAATTTGTTCAGTATTCCGATTCCACGGTACACGTATTGCACGAATTTTAGAATTTTCCAATTGGTGGAACACATCAACAATATACACGAAGAAATATATTTGCAATGGCTGTAAAATATGTCATGGCTGTCATTTTATATAAAGCCATATTTCGGCGTTAAATTGTTGAGGAAAGCAAGTTTTAAATAGATTTTATAATTTTTACTTAAATTATAAAGATTTGTTACAGTTCTTTGTTAAAACTGAATGCAAAAGGTGCGCCAATTCAGAATAGTCATTCTCAATAAATTGACCGAAGCAGCCGTTCATATATCACTAGATTCTGCAATGGGTGCACTCATGGCCTTGCATATTTCAATATCGGATTTTTCCATTTTGTGTCATCGTTCAATCGTGCAAGAGCAAGAGAATCCTTCTATTGTTTAAAATGTAACTTATTTGCAACAAGAGCGTTTTCTCTGAAATTCGCGAATATCTAAAATGAATAGAAATATTTTTTGTAGTGGTTAAGTTATCTACATTATAGTTTTAAATTAATATCTAATGGTTATTAAAAGTTGAGGCCTACAATATTTAGCTTGATATGTTAATAAGACGATATAATCATGTTATATGCAGTAGTTAGCGTGGATTTCATGTCTGAACTACCCGGCGGTGACTTTGTAGGCAAAGGAGTGTACCGCTCTGCAAGTTCTCCTCATGGAAGAAATGTACAAGGGGTGTGAGAATGCGGTAATTCTTCCATTGGGTGCACTTCAAAGGCGGGATTATGCAGGTCGACTGCAAATATGAGGAAGTGTTATCTGGCTATAGGAGATCGCTCCCAAGCTTGTAGGGTGGTAAGGCCCCATCCTATGTGTGAAGAAGGGGGAGGACTTCCCTTTGAATGATCGGTTCCTAGATGTCGAAAGTGCCTTTGACAACACTTGTCACAACCGTGTGGCAACGGCACTGGAAAAAAGGAATATCATGACACTTGTGCGCAGATGGATAGGAGCTGTACTGCGCATTAGAATAGCCGAGACCACAATAGAAGATACCAGTAC